ATCCTGAGGTTCATCTGCCGGGGCCAAGCACGCTTGGACGGTGGCAGTGAGGTCCTCAGGACGTAGATGGATTGCCTTACGGGCTAACGAGCTCCATCTGCCCGGGGAGGGGCCCCGACCGGGAATCGAACCCGGATCTCTGCAGTGACAGTGCAGTGAATTTTCCCCTGGACCACCGGGGGCTCCCGCAATATCATGTACTATCAGTAAAACCTCCCAATTCATATTTTAGTTGTGTTCACAGTAAGTTCATCTTTGATCTGAAATGTAACTTCTGTGGTTGTCAGGTTCACCCACATATCATCCTGGTGTATATTATACTTTCAGTCAAGCTTCTGCTGATACATATATTACTCGTTTTCACTTATTATGACATTGACTGTCAAATTATTATTAGACTCAGTGCCTGACTATTTGGAGCCAGTGATCATTAAGCTACTTCCAGCAGATGCTTTCAGAAAGAACATCTATGTTGTGGTTTATGCCAGTTACAAGTAGTGTAGGGTGAAGGGTCTCTGAAAAACTCTGCCCTGTGTCAGAGTTGCTCAGCACTGGATTACTGATGTCTGTGTGTGTAGCACTTCATCCTCAATGTAAAAGGTATAGAGTCTGTGTGTAGTATACAAAGATGTATAATCTAATCTGCATATCCAATGAAGGACCTATTAAGAACATTTTTCTCTTAAAATGTCAGTTTTATGCTGTAGTATTTATATTTTATTGCAAATAAAATATATTTTATTATGACACTCCTATTAGGATCCAAAGGAAATTGGTTTACTTGGGAATCAGACCACTTACTGCAGTTTCACATGGGTGCTCATTGTACATGTTCATGTAAGAGCTGTAGGCAATAAATATGATGGTGAGAACTGCTTTGTTTTAAGCATTTTAGAAAAAGTTACTGTATCTGAAAGGGAAATAATTTCTTATGAAAATATATTAAGACTATGGATGTGTAATATTTAAAAGACCTGTTTTCTCTTTGGAAATTCCAGCTAAAATAGGCCTAATTTTTTTTCACAGTCATTAT